AAAAAAAAAAAAAAAAAAAAAAAAAAAAAAAAAAAAAAAAAAAAAAAAAAAAAAAAAAAAAAAAAAAAAAGAACGCACCAAAACGGAAATAATCGCTACCCACAAGCCTAAGTTTCAAAAGACACTTATTGACATAAGAAATTCGACAGGAAAGCGGAAAGCGATGACAAAATAATTATTGCAGCAACAAACACACGCCATATAAAGAAAGACACACAAATATTTACTATGTAGATTACCATCTCTAGCATACAATGACAAAATATGCCTATTTGTCTTTCGTGTGCCTGCCGTGGGTGGTGCATGCAACAGCAAGCATATTATGTGAGACATTCTCAAAGTCAGACGACACGTTGCTGGCGAATGTGGCATGGGGCAGAGATAGATGATAGCTGTGCTCGTATAAACATGTGTACGTGGCAATTTGTTGCAAGCATGCAAAACCGCACAAAAAATTGCTTACAGCAAGCAAGACACAAGCTTGAAAATGAGCATCATAAAAAAATCAGCAAAAAGGAAAATTGATGTTTCACTTACCTTGCAAGCAAATGATGATGACTAACRCCAATATGAGCTTTAGCGGCTGTGRCAAGTGATGCTGATGTTGWTGTCKTCGCTGTTGCATGCCGCTTTGTGRCATCTCTGCGCTCGCGCCGACTGCAGCTGTGTTCGCTTTCATTGTGTGATATTTTCGGCTTATGTTGTTGGTTTTGTTGTTTTGCTGAATATTATTTTAATTTAGCCGCTGTTTTTCGCCTTCGTTGTGTTGCGGAACTTTTTCTTTTTCATTAAACTTTTTTGATTTGCCGTTGATTTATGTTGTTATGCTCTTCACAAGTCACAATTTATTTTTATTGTCGCATTTTTCATTTCACATTTACATATATATTTTTTATTTTTTCCTTTTTCGTTAATTTTGGTTATAGAGGTGGCGCGATCTCGGGCATAGAAATTTTTGCTAACATTTGTTTCTATATTTAAATCTGCTTTCTGGCGCCGTTCTTTTTGCTGCTGTACACGCGTCGATTTTTTTTCACAAATTCGAAAAACAAAAAACTTAAAATATGTCARGCGACTTTTTTGTTTCAAAATTGTTGCTTTTCCATTTCAAAATTGTGTATTTCATTTGCAGCAGTAACATAAATGCTGGAATGACATTTGAAATGGATAAAAGTCATAAATGAGTTACAAAGTCTCAACAATGTTAGAAAAGTGTAAAGAGTAAAAAGAAGCTTATATCTGAGAACAGAAGCTGAAAAAGTAAAGAAGGGTTAAGTTCGTGCGCTGACGTACCTTGTTTTCTCTCTGTGATTATATGGGAAAACAAGTGCTAAATTGTTGAAGAGAATATCAGATGGAAATAGCCAAATAAATATAATTGTTGAGTAATTTTTGAGTATCAGAAAAAGCTATGGATGAATCCTTTAAATTTGTGCATCAAAGCAGCTTTTGTTCCAATATAGTATATGCCTACTTGACTTCATTATAAAAAGTCTTCTAATGAACCAAGTAAATACCAAATCATCAGCAGGGTAGAAAACGTCGTTCAAACAAGATTTGAGCTGATATCAACCCGTACCCACCTCACCGAAAGAGAACTTGCTGGCGAAACTTTATTAGGAARTATGAGTGCGATATATTTACATACACATTGAGCCAGAAATGGGCCTCATCGCCGAACAAAATTTGGYACGAAAGCATCGGATCTTCTAGGAACTTTTCAAGAGCTCATCTAAKGAAGCGATGCCACTTRGGAAGGTCGAGGGGTATTAGTTCTTGCACAAGCTGAATTTTGAACGATTTCAGTTCGAGTTGCAGCGAACAGCTGCGAATCGACTCTTCACAGTTTTCGTGTACACTCTCAGCTACGGCCGCTATATTTTCTTCGGTCTTAAAATGGGTGATGCCGTTGAAGGAGTACGCATTGTAGGCTGACTAWGTTGACCATAAGTTGTGCGTAACTTTTCCTATGATGAATTCTCAAACAATATTAAAGAAAATTAACATGACACCTTGACACGACTGACGTGTAATCTGTCAAAAAAAAAAAACAAAAAAAAAAAACAATAGAAAAAAAAATATTGAAAAAAGTATCTCTACTTGAATCACCGGTTTCTCTAACTATCACCGGTATAGTTAGCCGAGAGAGACATTGGCATACGACAGCTCGAAAGATATAATTTGCTTACAATATTTGTTGACATTGATTTGACATTGCCGGTTCATTAGTTTGTGAATTATATCAATTTGAGTGCAGACTCTTCTGTTATTGTGGAAAATGGATAAAAAGCAATATTGCTTTTTGAAGAAAACAAGTACAGTTGAAGTAAAAACTTTGTCATCCGATCAACCCGCTCCGAAGCGTATAAAAACGCAACAGGCTGGCGAGGTTATGGCATAATATGTTTTTTCGACTACCTACTAAAAAAGAAAGATAGCGTTATTGGACTGTTTGAAGAAYGAAATCAYTGGAAAATYACCGCATTTGCAGAAAAAGRAMGTGTTGTTTCAACAAGACAATGCACTGTTTTCAAAAGATAGAGAAAACGGTGTTAAAAATCCATGAATCGCATGAACCGCATTGCTTCCACATTCACCGTATTCTACAGACTTGGCCCTCTGAGACTATTTCCGGAGACTTTTCAATGCTTGCTCTTTCTGTGATAAATTCAGAAACTGTCTTTTACCGAAAGCAGCTTAAATAAATAAGTGAACACCAAATGATAGCAGAAATGGGAGTCTAAATATAGAGTGCGCTCTCCTAAACATACTCGTAGAGTAAGAGCAAATATGCAAGGCGCATGRAAAATAATTAAACAGCGTCAATTATGAATTTGGCAACTAAAAACTTCGGTTTTTTGGTATTTTTGTGCGCTTATTTCGCTCATTTCGCTCATTTCACTCAATTACTGAACCTCCAGCRTTTGCACTCATTAATTATGGTCTCACTTAGCAGCACACTTCAATGAAAATAATTAAGATTTGCCAAACTTCYGCTTCCGCTGCTCGCTGTACTTCAACGACAAGCGTCAATTTCGCAATAGTTTGCTACATTTTCGGTACGCATTTTACCCTACAAAGCTCATACATAAATTTGCAATATTTTTATGAAATATTTCATTCTTGTGCAATTTTTTTTATATTTGCTTTAGAATTTCTCACATTTGCTGCATTTTCTGTGTAAAACTGTTTTGTCTTGCGTTGATTTATGATGTTGTTATTGTTTTTTGTTTTATGATTTGTAAGCATATATGTATTTAATATGGATTTATTGGCATTGCAGCGCACTTTCTTTGTTAGCTTCGCTCGTTGCTAGCTCATCGTGATGCAGCGTTCTTTGGCGCGATCAAAGGTTACGCTTCAAGCTGGCTTACTTCAAAGCGTTCGCCTATACTTACACCCACACACACATATGTATATGCATCGCCTTTTTGCGCGCGCATATTTTTATCGCTCAAATCTGTTGTTGCTGCTTGCTAGTAAAGAATTTAGCTGCTTGGCACGCGCATTTTTCCTTTATTGAAATGCAGTCCAACGGAAAATTCTGCAATTATATGAGAAGCAAAAACTGTATGTGAGTAAAAGATTGGCTGTTCAATTGAGGCGTGTGCGTAATTTATATGACAAACATTTTTTGCAAATTTCTAAAATAATTACTATTAAATACACATATGAATTTTATTATAGAATTAAAATTTTTACTTTACAGTTTACTGCCAAATACTTATTTATTTATTATTATTTTAAAATCCCAAAAGTGATAATGTTAATGATTTGACAAAAGTTTAATTTCTTAAATATTTTGAAARTRTKAWTTARYATAAATCAGTTGTAAACAAGAAAAAAAGTTAACTCTTGTTGCACAAAAGCTAGAATACCTCTCACGAATCAAAATGTTTTCCCCATAAAGACTTYATTCCGAACGTTGAGTTCGT